TGCCCTAGCCGGTTTGGTTCAGTGGTTAGAGCGTCGGCCTGTGGACTGAAGGGTCCCGGGTGCGATTCCAGCCAAGGGCACATACATCAGTTGCAGGCTCGATCCCCAGGCCAGGTCAGAGCGCATGTGGGAGGCAACCGATCCATGTGTCTCTGTCACACCAATGTTTCTCGCTCGCTCTCCCTCCCTCTCCCCCTCCCTCTCCCTCTCCCTCTCCCTCCCCCCCTTCTTTCTTAAGGGAAGGGAAACAATAGTTATAAGAAAATTCCTGTATAAAGGCCAAAATCTGCTTTGCTTTTCAATTTCAGCTGCGAAACTTACATAACTACAGTCAGAATGTAAGCAGTTAATTCTCCCTGAGCCTCTTTTCCTCACCTGCGAGCCAGGAAGGGTCCCTTCTACCCCCGGGCCCCGAGCGATGAAATGAAGCTAACGGTCGAGGCGCATCGGTGCCTGCGGGTGCTGGGCCCTGAGGGCGCCCGCTTCTTTCCTGGCGCCCTCCCCCCTCCTGTGTCATGTGCAGATCACTGAGCCTGCGTCGCCCCACTGGACCGTCTCCCCAGGAGCCAGGGCGAGGGGCAGTGCCCGCGCCGCACAGGGAGACGAGTGAGCAGCCTGGCGGTGGGTGACATGGCTCATCCAGGTCCCTCGGGTGCCAAGGGACAGCCCTGCTGGTCTGTCATCCTCTCTGAACACTTGCAGCCATTGGCTGGCATTTTATTAATCACCTTTTGCCAGGAAATTCTGAGGCTTTCCTACTGCCTCTCAGCCCTTGTTGTTGACAGTGAAATGTTAGCAAAGAGCTTTTGAATATTAAGGTTTCAGAATGTAGCTCCACTTCCTGTGACGCCTAGAAATGTACCCAAGCGATGCATTGGACAAACGCCTATCCCCACGTGCCCTTGGCCAGCGGGTGGCCGCGGGTCACATTTCCTGACACATAATCCTCCGCTCGTCCTGCCTGGTTCCTCTCCGGCGAGTCGGTCCCCTCATAGATCAAAGTGGTGTGTTTGTGTGGTCGTCTGCCTGCCTGCAGTCGCTCCCAGAGCCTCCTACGCGTCTCCTGCGCTGGGAGGAGGCTCCGGCCTCTGCTCTTCACGGGGCTCTGAGATAGGAAGTTATAAATTGTAGAGATACAATAAGGTCAACACCGACGGGGAGGGACACGTGATAATTTTACAGCAGCGATCCCGAGCCCTGGTATTAGCTGGGGAAAAATCAAGTCCACTCTGCTGTGTGACCAGGGCCTCTGAATAAGTCAGAAGGCAGCTGGAACTCACAGCTGAAAAACAGCAGACACTTGAAAATTATCCCGAGGCTTAAACATCAGCCGGTCTTTCAGAGGAAAGGGTCCTCGTGTATCATGCTCAGAATTACGAGGGCGGAGAAGAGGTTTGTCACTGAGTGGCCTTTCTAGAGAAATTCCCTTTGGGGAGAAGGGAGAAAGCGCCCCTGTCGGGGCCCCCGCAGGGCTCGTGGGGTGGATGCCGCCTCTGTTAGGAATCCCTTCCCCACACTCTTCACCGGCGTCAGACTGCTGGGTCGCCCTGCAGTGTGTACACTGGGCATTCCCTCGAATTCTCCTTCCCAGCCTTAGTTGAAGCTCCTTTACTATCAGAGATGTTGGGACTGTGAGTAATTCCTGCATGGAACACATAGAATAATTACTGTATATTTATTTATTTTTAAATGTATCTATTGATTTCAGAGAGAGGAAGGGGGAGGGAGAGAGAGGGAGAAACATCAATGATGAGAGTCATGATCTCCTGGATCCTAGGTCAATGCTCAACCGCTGAGCCACGCCGGCCGGGCAATAATTACTGTGTTTACGTTAAATACCCACCGACCCTGGGTCTTACAAGGCGAGAGGGTGGCTGTGCAGCTTTTGACAGAATGGCTTGTCCCACTGTTGACTTGTTAACTCAGGATCTCCCGGTGAACATCAAGTTTATCATTGAAGGGATGGAGGAGGCCGGTTCTGTGGGCCTGGAGGAACTTGTCACGAGAGAAAAGGAGGGGTTCTTTTCCAGCGTGGACTACATCGTGATTTCAGACAACCTGTGGGTCAGCCGGTGGAGGCCCGCGCTCATCTACGGAACGCGAGGGAACAGCTACTTCACGGTGGAGGTACCCGCAGACCTTGGAGGGAAACCGTGGCGGCTGCTGGCCTGCAGGCGGGGAGCCGCCCTGGGGCCTGGGAGGGGCAGCGACAGAGCTGTGTGAGAGCACAGAGTTCTCCCGGGATGCCCAGGGACCTTGGAGGGAGGTCCTGGGGCTGGGTGGGGGTTCACCAGCCCCCCACTGTGAGCGTGAGCTCTGTGCATCATTCTGCAGACTGGTTCTGAGCGCTTGAGACACACAGGCCAAGGCTTAGGGACTGCAGCTGTGGAATCTGGGTGAGGAGCCTGCCCATCAGGTGCTGGGCTCCTGTGACACCAGCAGTACCCGCTCCCCGGGGCCTGCATCCCAGTCCCGGCTCAGTGATGCACACACAGCCTGTGTAGGCCCCTTACTCTCGGCCTCCGAGTCCTCACCTCTAACGTGAGCACAGCAACCCCCACGCAGCTGGTCCAGCCCTTGTTTTCATCAGTACAGACAGCCTGGGGCAGAGCGCGTGACTCAGAGTCAGACAGCACCTCCTGGGAGATCTCCTGTCATTCCGCCAAGTTCCTCTGTTTTCTCACGTAGCAACGTGGACACCAAAATCCGTGCCGTGGGAACCCAGCGGGGCTGGAATGAGGACACCCCCCTGGCCTGACCTTAAAGGTGGATCGGGCAGGGAAGACCCGCTGGGCAGGGAAGATGGGGGATCAGTCGAAGAGACAATTTCAAAAACCCCTCACTGGTGACATGGGCTATGGTGTCATTTTAAGGTGACCCATTAGCAGGACTGGGGACTCCCCTTGCTTTGGAAACAGCAAGCTGGTAGGAAGTCAGCGCAGGAGGAGATGCTGAGTTGACTTCTGGACCTGAATTTCAGAAGGTGGAGCACACCAGGGGGGTCAGAGCTTCGGGGCGGCGCGTGGAGGAGTGTGGGCAGTGAATGGAGCCCAGTGAGCTAGTTCTCAGAGCTCTGTGTGTCGAGGAAGAGCGAGCCCCGGAATAAGCGTGGGGGTGGGAGACAGAAAAGAAGTGACTGGAGGAGACATTGATAGGATTGTCCTGCAGGCACAGAAAGAATCCAGAGAAGAAACTTTCTCAGAAACCACAGGAGGAGAATTTTTCTGGAAGGAGGGTGAGCAGCAGATGGGGGTGAGACCGAGAGTAAGACGAGGGCATACCCATCAATAATTCGGTGATCTTGCACAGAACCCCGTTTGCGGAATAGGTGGGGGCTGAAGTCAGTTTCAGGGGGTTCGGGACACATGGAAAATGAAGACATGGGCGTCATGTGACCGGACAGCAGAAGTGACGTCAGGCTGCTCACCTGAGTCCTGGGGGACACCGCTTGGCATATTTCCCACCACGTGGAAGCTGCGGCTGCCCCAGCGACAGCAGCAGACCTGTCTTCTCCTGCCTGTCTTGCAGGTGAAATGCAGAGATCAGGACTTTCACTCAGGGACCTTCGGTGGCATCCTTCATGAGCCAATGGCTGACTTGGTGGCTCTTCTCGGTAAGGTCTTATTTCATTTTGTTTTGTGCCTCAGGACGCAGGGTCGAAGGCTCCATGAGGACTGGTGTTTACACCTAGTCCCTGGGCACCTGCTGTGCCCCAGCGCCGGGCGAATGCTGGGATGTGGCGATGCACAGACCCGCCTTCCATCAACGAGGGCGCTGCCCCTGACCACACAGGTTAAATGACAAGTGTGACCCCACAGGCCTGGACCAACAGGTGGCTTGGGTCTGTGTGGACATAATGGAAGCCAAGGAAAACCCCGTGAAAGTCTGGGTGGCCGCAGTAGTGTGACACGCATAGTCTTAGGAGGTGTCTTTACTTGAAAAAAAGCCCCCAGGCTGACCGAGGATGGATTTAGCTGTCCTGAGACTTGTGCATCATTTATGTTCTCTACTTGCTGGTTGCCTTGTGTCTTTGATAAGTACTTTCTCAAGATTGTGAGCAGTGTTTACTGAATCTCGAGTCTGCTTCTTTTACATTCTTCGATGATTTCTCCTATTCTATTAATCCCAACATCTTTCATAAATAACAGTCTAGGCCCTGGCTGGATAGCTCAGTTGGTTAGAGCATCATCCTGATACGTCAAGGTTGCAGGTTTGATCCTGGGCCAGGGCATATTCAAGCATCAACCAATGATTCTTAGCCAGTTTTGCGGACTGAAGGGTCCTGGGTTCGATTCCAGCCAAGGGCAGCACATACCTCGGTTGCAGGTTCCATCCCCGAGGGGCATGTGCAGGAGGCAATCAGTCGATGTCTCTCTCACATCGATGTTTTCTGAGAAGCAATGGAAAAAATATCCTTGGGTGTGGATTAAAAAACAAAAAGAATCAATAAATAAGTGGAACAACAAATCGATGTTTCTCTCCCTTTCTCCCCCCTCCCCCCTTCCCATCTCCCTCTCAAAATCAATCAATAAAAAAAGTAAATAACAGTTTAGGTGACTGCTCATCACCACAAAGGCTCTCATGGTCCTGATGGATCTCACAGACTAGACCCCAATTATGCTTTTGATTAATGATAATATTCATTATATTATTACGGTGTGTCAGGGAGAGAAGTTTAGGCATGAGGATTTTCAGTTTGTCAGGTGTGTGTGCGTATACACACACGTATCTAAAATTTTTCATGACTTTAACTCAGGATAATAT